TGTGTGGAGGGTTGTCCGCCGCCGTCTCTATAAAAATTTCTCTCTCTCTCTCTCTCTCTCTCTCTCTCTCTCTCTCTCTCTCTCTCCTGCCTCCCTCCCTCCCTGAGCTTTCTCCGCCCCTTAAATTTTAATTTAAATATTTTCTAGCTCTTTTATCTGCTTGTTCTGTTATCAGAGTTACAGAGTTAGCAGCTATGACCTAAAAGTGGGAGAGAGAGCAAAGGAGCAGCTCCAGGGAGAGAGAGGGGGAGGTGGAGAGAGAGCACGAAGCAGAGGGAAGACAGGGTGCCAAGGGAATTCAGATCAATACAGCGCATGCTTGGCATGTGCCAGTTCTTCTCTACCTCCTTCCTTCTCTTTCTCCTGTACTTCTCCCTCCTCTGATTCTTTTTACCATCATTTTTGGTGCTTTCCACAGTGGGCACTGCTCAACAAGAAAGGCACAGTTCCTCTCAGGGTGATCATATTTGAGAGGGAAAGACAAGCAATTCACATACAGTACATGCTACAAAGGTTCTTCCAGAAGGGAAATAATTTAAGCAGAGATGTGAAAGATGAGGAATTGACCCATCAAAGACTAAAGGAAGTATGTTTCCCCTAAGACAGAGCATGGTGGATTCCAAGAACTGAAGAAGCTAAGTTTGGCTGGGATGATTTTGTAGAGACAGGTAGGTGTAAGAGATAAGACTAGATAATGAAGAGCCTTGAAACTTCTGTTAAGGAGTAGAACTTCATCCTGAGGTCCAGAAAAACCACTGTTTGTGTTCATGCAGGAAGCTATTGGGTAGATTCATGTTTACAAACAGTATTCTTGTGGTTGTACAATAGTCACAGAAAATGTCCAGGGACATTCAAGGTGAGCTGAACTAGGGTAGCGATGGTGGGTATGGGTAGGCATGGGTAGACCTGAGTGGTGGTTTGGATGCAGAGTAGATGGTGATTAGATGTAGGTAGATAAAAGAAGAGGAGGGTCAACATCCACATTATGGATTAAACAGATTGTAGATGTTGGCACCCTGTTGAATTGGGGCAGAGGGTACCCTAGGAAGTCTAGGAAGAACCCAGAATCAGGAGAGTTCCTGAGATGAGACTGAAGGATAATGTGAACAGCATTGATCTGCCCTGTATCTTTGGTTTAAGACTTCCTCTTCCCAGACTTTCACATGACTTTCTCAGTCAGCACAGAGCTTCTGCTTCTCTTGGGACCCACTTCAGATGGTGAGGCATAGATACTTTCTACCTTCTTTTTATGTCTGAACTGCTTTCTCACGATAACCATCTGCTTCTATTTAATTATACAAGTGACAGAAACAACCTAGAAAATCAAACCATTCATGTGTACACAAAATGTAAAGAAAAGATGTCCTGTAATGCCATGCTAGTATGACTCATGTGTTCTTTCCACATACAGTGTGCATATATTCATGTGTACATATATATATATATTTATATAAATAGCCATGTGCATATATTGTATATACTATGTCAATATGTTTCTTGTTATGATTTATGTGTACATATGAAGTATCCACTATCCAGATGCTCATGTGTTGTAGGCTTAGTCCCCAGATGGTGGCACTACTAAGAGGTTATTGGATGATGAAGGTACAGACTTCATCATCAGACAATCCATTGATAAGTTCTTAGCTGAACAGGCTATTAGGATGTGGGGTCTGATTGGAAGGAGTAGGGCACTAGGGATGTGCCTTTGAAGGGCTTATCTTGGCCCTGGCACTTTTCACTCTCATTTTCCCTCTGCTTCCTGGCCACTATGAGATGAACAGCTTTGCTCTCCCAGGACCTCTGTACCATAATATTCTGCCTCAGTGCAGGCCACAGCGATGGGATCAGTGACCAGACTGAACTTTATGAAGACTTGAAGCAAGATAAGTCAAGAAAGGCTTTTAAATTACTTTCTCAGTTATTTTATCACAGCAATGAAAAGTGTCTATCAAACTTCTACAATCTAGTTTCCAAGGACACCTTAGTATTCTAATTGACAACTTTATTTCTTAGATAATTCCCTTATCGGATTCCTAATTTCACCAGTGTTGTGGTGATTACTCTTCCATATAAATCTTTGTTCGTACTTTCTTGAGTATAAATTACCAGTTTGCATGCATTGTAGTCTATTTTTGCTACGATAGATACCTCAGGCTAGGTAATTTCACAAGAACAGAATTTAGTCTCACAGTTCTAGCAGTCAGGAAGTTCAAGATCAAGGTGGCAACAGGTTCAGTGTCTGGAGAGACAGTCTCTGCCTCCAAAAGGGTGTCTCACTACAGCCTCTGGAAGGGAGGACTTCCAGTCCTGACATAGTAGAATGGACAGAAAGGGCAACGAGCAAAAATTCCCTTTCTTCATAAGGGCACCTAATCTCATTCACAAGGTGAAAGGCCACACCTCTTAATCTGGCCGCTCTGGAGGATAAGTTTCACCATGAGTCTTGGAGGGGACACAGTCATTCAAAACATGGCAGTATGTGTTTACCTTAAAGACTTTTGTGTGTGTTCACAATGTTAGTACCCTATTTTTTTGGCCAAAGTATAGGTCCAAAATGATACATTGGAGTGGCTTTAATGTTCTTTGGTTCCTGATGAGGATAAAAAATATTCTTAGGCTTAGTGTTCAGTGTCTTTCCACCTTTGTGAACTGTGTATTTATAACCTTGCCTCCCTTTTTACTGGGTTCTTCAACACTTTTTATTGATATATGAAAATGCCTTTTAAAGAAATCTGTGTGGATGGTGTGTGTGTGTGTGTGTGTGTGTGTGTGTGTGTGTGTGTGTACACGAGCATGCCATGTTGCATGTGTGGCGATCAGAAGATAGGCTCAGTCTTTGAGTTCTATCTTGCTTGAGATAAGATCTCTTGCTGTTCATTGCTGTATATGCCAGGCCAGCTGATCTGGAAGCTTCCAGGGACTCTCCTATCTTTGTCTCCCATCTTGCCAGAGGAGTTCTTGGCTTACAGATGTGTGCTGTTGCATCTGGCTTTATGTGGGTTCTGGGGATCTGACCTCAGGTCCTCATGCTTGTGCAGCAAGTGTTTTACCCACTGAGCCATTTCTCCAGCCACCCAAATGCTTTTAAAATTAACAGTATCAATTCTTTGATATATATATATATATAAAACAAATGTTTTTCCAATTCATATTTTAACAATTGGTACTTTAAGTATAAATGCAAATATAACTATATATGCACGTAATGTATTATATTATTATGTTCAATTAATGGATGTTTATCAATTTCTGCTACATAATTCATTGATTCCAAAATATTAGCTGATATATATATCTATAATCTTCCAGATTTTTTCCTTTTGAGCATATACATACACACACATATATATTTTCTTCTTTAAAAAGGTAATCATACAAACTGTATTGATAAGTTGGCAACATATCATTAACAACTTGCACTTAAAAGTTGATATCCATGCCATGAGTTTTCATGACTACATGATACTCTATTTTATGGTTTCATCATTATTTATTTCTTTTGAGCTGACCAATAAAAACTGCCTAGCCAGGCATGGTGGTATACATCTATACTCCTAGTACCCTGAAGACTGAGTCAAGAAGATCATCAATTTGAAATTAGTCTGGACTACATAGCCAGATCCTATTTTAAGCTTGCATATATTTATGATATACAGTGTGATATTTTTAACATGTATACATTATGTAATAGCTGCATCAAATAATTATATGCATTACCTTGTGTACTTATCATTTTTTGTGGTGAGGACATAAAATATATTCTCTCAATAATTTTCTTTTTTTTGCTTTTTAAAAAAATTTTTACAAAAATTTTATTGAGAACTTCATACAAGCATATAAGGTGTTTTGATCAAATCCATGCCCACTCCCTTCTGTCCAACCTTCCCTCCTCTGAAGAGGTAACTGTAAAATCTATTTAAGGATTAGATACAAGCTCCCAAATACTTTTAACATTTTTGGCCTTTGGAACAGAGTATGTTGCTAACAGGCCCAAGGACATTTTGACTTTTAGCCAAGAAGCTGGCTATATTTCTTTGGGGTCTTTTTACCCTAACTGCCTAGCCATTTCTTACCCCCTGTTCTTATCATGCCATCCTCTGAAGGGGTTACCCAAATTGCCAGTAGGGAATAGGGACACACACCGCTCTGGCTTCTTCCATGCTGAACAGGCACACAGGGTGAGGCAATTGGAGTACCCCTTCAGTGGGTCTATCTAAAAGACTCCCAAATTGCATAACTCTTGTCTCTAAGGGGAGAAGAAAGTCCTTGAATCATGAATAGGAGATATGAAGGAGAAGTAAAGGCAAGAGTAATTAGCATTACAAGTTCTAGACAGGGAATTAGAAAAAAGTCAGAACAGGGCAAAATTCAAATGTTCATAAGAGAGTCCCTTGAAGTTTCTTGACA